TGCTGAGTACGTCTATTCAGTTACCAGGTCTGGTGTTCATGAGCTCACTCGGAGGTCAGGGGCCCACTGTGTCACAAGACTGACCTGGGTCATATCCATGCTCACTGGTCTCCACGAGCTCACTCATACCAGTGGACCAAAGCACCATGTTGACCTTGCTGGTCACCCTGTCTGTTTAAAACAGTATCCAGGACTCCCCCTAAAGTCTCATGAACCCTTCTTCATGCAGACAAATTAGAGCTGGTGTCAGCATGCTTGAGAGCAGGACAGTCAAGACCTATCCTGAAAGATGTGGGCAGCACAGCCAGATCCTCTTTCTTTCCTCAAGTGTGTGCTGGGACACCCTCCCTTCCAGGGCTGGGGGGTTTTGATCCAGCTCCATTTTGGACACTAACTGATGTCCATGACATCGCTCGTGTTGGGTAATGTTCTAGTTCACTTTTCTGCTGAAGGGCTGGACCTTGCTTCCTCCTTCAGAAAAAGGGAAACCAGAGGCTGCCCATCAGTTTCAGTCCAAGGAGCAGTGACGACCTTGCCAACACCCAAGGTCTGAGAGCCACACTATTCCGATGGTCCCTCAGGTCTGCCTGCCCGCTCCTGGATCCCCTCACTCAGTTCTGTGACAGCACACACTTACTGGAAGCTGGCCCTATGTCAAGCCCTGATTGTGGCATTTGAGTCCAGGGAGGAATAAATATGGCAAGACCCTGCTTTTATAACCTCAGATTCTTTTCTGAAGACAGAAATAATTGACAAATACGAAATGCACAAAGTCAGGGGCTGGGGCTGGGCTCAGTGGTAGAGTGTGTGCTAGCAGGCGAGAGGCCCTGGGTTCCATCCTCTGCATGAGGAGGAGGAGGAGGAGGAGACGGAGGAGGAGGACAAGGAGGATGGGGAGGGAGAGAGGGAGGGGAAGGGGGAGGGGGAGGGGGAGGAAGAGGGGTGTTCACCACCCTCCCTCTGCCACCAGCCCTAGAGGAGGAAGACGCAAGTCCCTCTCCCTCTCCCTCCACATCACGGCCACCTTCACTCCCATAAATACCCACATTCCTCAACTCTGGGGGGCAGTGTCTACCCAGCGTCCACCCACCATGAGTGCCGGCCCCTCCATATCTAGATTTGGGGCAGGAGGACCAGAAGACAGAGCTTCCACCTGAGGGATGAGGACTCAGCACCAAGAGGGGACACCGGGGACCCTGTCTGGGGTCACAGTGTGAACGAGCCCAGTTGTGTGAAACCAGAAGAAGAGCTGGGGACCCATCAGACTCAGAGCACCCTGGATGAAGAAGCTCCACTGAGGTCACTACTAGAGCTAGAGAAGACGGACAGCTCTGGTGCCACTCCCAGGACAGTCCATCACCACAGGCTGAGGGGCCCTGGTCCCCGCCTCCTTTGCCAGGTCAGACCAAGGGCTGGAGTGAAGTGGTCATGGTGGCTGCGTCGTGCATTCCTGAGCAGCACCTTTCTGTCCAGCAGGGCATCCTCAGGTCGAGCTTGGGCTAAGCCCTAGACTGGGGTCCCCAGCAGCTGGGAAGGAACCCCAAGCTTCAGTGGTGTACTGCAGATGTGCCCAGCAGCCTGAACTCACGGTCAGAACAGAACCAGGCAGACACAGGGCCACCACCTGTATGTGCCAGAGGCACTGGGTCCCGG